AAAAGGGCTAGTGTACATCAATGCAATCGCTCAAATAACCTTAACTATGCACTGTAGGGCCACAAGTCTACAATGAATATTTCTTAATATTTTTCATCAGAGATTAGAATACAGAGAGTTTTAAACATATTTATTTTCTCTCTGAATAAACACTGGGAACTGTAAGACAGAGTGAAGATTTTCTGCATACCTTCATTTTCTTTCATTTTACACTTTAACATATGTAGTTTCAAGTATGATTTTCATTTTGAATTCTCTCTGTTTAAAATTAATATTTTGGGGTAATCATAAATTTTGTGCTGTATTTTAAATTAAACAATGGATACAGTTCATCCTTGACTCTGCCTTAATGTCACCTATGTCTTTTGAATTTGCTCACTTTAATAAATTAAAATCATACATGTGATTGCTAAAAATTGAGCTCAAAGATAATATTATCATGAGCTATTTCTAATCTTTCCAAGAAACACACACACACACGTTTCATTTTATGTAAGCTTTTATGGCCAGGTTCATTGATATGCCGTGGCTGTTTTATGCTACTCTGGAGTAGAGCAAAGCAGCCAGAGCATACTGGCTGGTTAAGCCAAATTTACAGCTCCTTTGTTAAATAAAAGCAGTGCAAAGCAGTTGGAAGGCACACCCCAGTTTCCTTCTGTCTCTTGCTTCTCCCTGGCTCTTCTGAACACTCAGATTTGTTTCCACTGCCTCCTGCATCTTTTATATTCTGCACTATGGAAACACATCTGTCCTGTCCTCTGTAAACTCCAAGTACATACGTATACACGTGTGCATGTACAACACAGACCTGAGACTCCTTTACTGAGCGTGTCTGGTATAATGTGGAGCTTAGGAAAATAATTATTTGAACATTAGTAACTGACCATTGCTTTTATTTTTTCTATAACTGTTGGCAGAAGAGAGTGGATTACATCCTCATAAACTCCAGTGTAGAATCATCCTCTTAGAAAATAGCCACCATCTTCTATTTCTTTCAAAGAGATTAAAGCAAATTTAACCTGAATAGGTGGAAGTAAATGATGAAACAAAACTCTCTAGAGGGGAAGGCACATCAGGCTTTGAAAAGAATGGAAAAGAGCTGTGTTTTATTATTACCTAAGGGAAAAGAAGAAGTGCCCATCCTTTAGAAAAAGGACATTACTTCAAGGATTTTTGTAGCTAGACCAGTTGCTTAATTATGGTAAACATCAAACAAAACTTTTCTGGCAAAATTAAAAAGTATAGTGATTTGATTACTGCGCTTCTTTTCCATTCTGCGGAAACGTCTCTCTTCTACATTCCACTAGCTCCCTGTAGTTAATATGAGTAAACATAGTTTTTTAGTAGAAATGGGAAAGAAATGGAAAGGAAAACATATTCTTTTATATATGATAGAGCAGTCTTCATCTTCAAACCAGCTACAGCCATTTACATATGATTTTGCAGTAGAAAGTTTAAAAATACAATAAAGTCTCTTCATGTAGCCCTGAAATCAAAATGGCAGACACAAAGCTGCACCATAATTTTTCCTGTTTCCCACTACAGTCCCACTGGAGCCACTCACTCAGCATGCCTTTGAAGTGATTGTTCTGTGTTATGCCTCTAACTCATCTTCAAATTGTCTGCATTTTTGCACACGGAAGTTGCATTTTCCTGAAGAAACAGAAACATTTTCTCGGACAGTTTGGAGGAACAGTGAGGTGGAATCTCATTCAGTCCTAACAAGATTTACTAAAAATAGATTTATCCAGTAATTTATGCAGTGAAAAATAACTAATATTCAACTACCTGCATGTATATATATGTGTGCGTGTAAATGCTTATACTGTTTCATAAAGAAATTCTGGGCTAATAACAACATACGTGATTTCAAATGCATCGTTATATATAATGCCTAATTACGGGCAAAACTCTAGAGGCAGAAAAAAGCTTTGGTCTCTATTCCTGTGGACATTATCATTCAGAATGATCTCTGTTGTGAAATTTGACAGTCAATCAAGCATTGATGAGAGTCCTAGTGTCATGGCCACTGACACTTCAAATATGTGCTTGGTGTAATTCTAGGAAGAAACTAGGGCTCTGCTGGTGAGAAAGTGAGGGTTATGTGTACCCCTTAGGGAGCTTTATATGGTTTTAATGCAAATTTCTCAGTTCCTAAGAACTCAAAGGATTAGGCTCTCGAGGCAACCAGAAAGCAAGAGGCCTCGGCTTCTCTCCAAACACACACCACCTATCTGCAAACTTATTCACACCTTGGTTATTTTGGAGAGGACCTTCACCAACACCCTCTCTTGCCTTCACTAGGAATTGATTAGTGCATAACTTCTCTGTCTACTGGTGAGTAGATATGAAGAGAAAATCTCTCCATTTTGTGCCTTATTTTTCTCTTAAAATTGAGGATGTCCAACATTTTCCCCACCCCTTGGTTGGGATCTCTGTAACTCTGTCTCTAAAGTCAATTTATTTAAATAATAATAATAAAAAAAAGCCTATTTTCCTATCTACAAAACTCTGTTTTCTTAAAAACTGACCTGTTGCCAGTCAAAACTCCAGAACAACAGCTGACTTGCTGTTTTTTTTTTTAGCAACTCTTCTATTGATTTTCTCCAAGACTGTACCTTCTGTTCTATCTATGGCTAGAGGACTGAACTGTGGTTGTCTCTTTCCTGCCTACTGTCTCACAATTCAGTCCTTGCTGAACTGAGAACGCAGGCTACATCATGTATGATATTTTAGATAACAGCAGGGATAGATTTTGGACCACAGATTAAGTGTCACTTTACTAGGAGTTGTAAATTTACCTACCATTCAGACCAGATCCATAGAAAATAGTTATCTGGTCTACCCTATGTAATTTACAGATGTTTGTATTCGCCCTTTGAAGTTCCATGCTGTTTGCTTCATTGATCCCCCCTCAAAACTGTCATACCAAACCCATATCAATAAACCTTACAGAGGGTACAAAGACTGCCCAGGAAAAAGGGGCTTAGGGCAGAGAGAAACATTTCCTATCATTCTTACTCTTTTGGAGAAAAGGAAAGTACCTATAGTAATCAGTCAACAGCATTATATTTCTTAAAGAAAATCCAACAAGCAATTAACTATTTAACACAATGTATGACCTTCACATTAATTACTACATTAACTGCAAGGTTAAATGGATGCATTTAAAATAACAGCATTAAATTTTGCACCATCAGCAATTCTTTTAAGGGAGATCCCAAACTTCACTTTGAATTTATCTGCATTAAAAATATATATATAATTAAGCATCTATTTTGGTGGTATGTCTGCAAATTATTAGTCAGTGTGTGGTAGTTTACATTACTTTTATTTTCCTGAACAGTGCTGCTTTGCTGAGGCACAGAGGTTGAAATTCCCTCCAACTCTGAAGCAGAGTAATAGGTACAGCAGCAATATTAGCTGCTCTAAACTATTTACTAGTGTGCCTTAAACTAGAACTGCAATGTACGTATTTGAGAATGCATTATTAATCCCAGGTGTTTGTTGTCAGGGTAGCAGGGGTACCAATTATGGTTGCAGTCTCAATTATGTGAGTCTTCTGTTCAATAAGCTAGGACCACCATTCTCCGCAGTGTTAGATGGCCACATTACTTATATCATTAATGGGATGAGTTGGCTCCAAACCAAGAATTTTGGGGTCATCATACCAGATATATTAATATCAGACACTAATACCAGTGATTTGAACCATCCAGTCCCCTAACTTCCGTAAAATCTCATCAAAGAATAAAACAGATCTTGGAAAGAGCTTGAGGCAATACTGAGGTGTAGCAAATTTGGAGTCTGCCACTGACTATTTGTTTAGACTCTTTTTAAATACAAGAAGCTGTTGTAAATAAAATTTAAACCTTTTCAACAATAACAGTGTGATATTTTGAATGTGTAAAGCTATATCTGTGTCTAGAGCTTAGACTTTGAGTTCAGGTGTGTTGTTTATTAGATCCTCTGCATATTATTTCAGGGACTGCGGCAGAGTGCTTTAGAAAAAAAAAAAAAAACAATTAAAAAATTAGTTTTATACTTTTTGTGATGTATTTTCCGTAGAATATAGTCCAAACACATATAAGGTAAATGCAGTACTTCAAACTAAAAGTCCTGAACTTGATTGTAGATACAGGTTAATTGTCTCATTGACTATCTTGCATATCAGTTTCCACTAAACAAAACTCATTTCCAAACATGTAGCATTTTCCCAATCTTTAGAAGTGAGTGCCCACTAAACCCTTCCACCGGACAGCTTTACAATGAAAGGAAATGGTGTATGAAAGACAGGACTACTGAAAGTCTAAAAGAGTGTGTTTTAAACTGGTTTTATCTCCTCTGGTCCCATGTAAATAAGACTAAAGATTATGACGCATCACCTATGAAAGAATAAAATTTCATTTAGAATGAGCTATTGAAAGCAAAGAGAAATATAGCATACAACATTTCCTATCATTCTTACTGAGACATTTCACAATTTTTTACTTTTAAGTAAATTACTATTTACTGCAATCTATAGAAAAAGCCAGTTGGTCAAATCTGTGAGCATCATGATGAGACGTCTAAGTGAATGAGGAACGCTGGATTCGGACCATGCTTCGTATTGCTTTATATCTGCTATACTTCCATGTAACTGCAATCAGTGTGATGGTGAACAGCAATTTTCTTCTGCCTGGTATAAATGCTTAAATTTAAATTTTGTAGGTAGAGAAGTAAGCAAACTCAAAGTCATTTTACTGTCATGATATAATAATGATAAAATGAGTGACCTATTAAGTCATTAGACTTTTTTTTATTTTTGTCAGTTCTGAGTGGATGATCACAACAATGAAATTATCCCTTTTTATTATTTACTAAGCTTTCATACATTGGGATACCAGGATTAAGTTAGTTTAACCATGGGTCGTTCTGTCTTTCAAGATTACATTAGCTCTTAGTCATGTGCTTATATTCTACAACCAGTTTTCATAACTTCAGAAGAAAAAGGTACCAACCTGAATGCTGTGAGATACTCAACATCGCCCATAGGAGGATCCAAGCCACCTGTCCAAGCAATATTTATGTTATACCCTTCACCAGGGCCACTTCCAACCTGAAAAATAGGAATAAAATGCCAAAAGAAGTGAAGAGGAGGAAAAAGGAGGAGGAAGAGAGGGAGAGAGAGGGAAAAAAAAAAAAAATCTCAAGTGGGCTTTAGAAACAAACATCAAACAACATGTCAGATCAGCCCAGCCTTGTTTGACAAGGACTGCTCTGGGTTATGCACTTGTTCTCCACTGGTCCCCTGCTCCCAGTGGACAATTTGGTAATCTGGTGTAATTTAAAGAACCAGAGAAGGACAAGAAAATTAGGGGTAATCATGCAACGCAATTACCTGAAAGATACAAATAAAAATGAGGCTCTAAAGAAATAAACCTAACCTCATTTGGGGCTCCACTGCCGGGGAAGAAGTTGCCTTCATCATAGCGATGGAGGGAAACATACAGGATGCTGGGGTCAGCATAAAAAGCCTGCTGTGTACCGTTGCCATGGTGAACATCCTAAAGGAGAAAGAAAACAGATGACAAATGTAATAATGTCTAACTCAGTGTAGAGAGCTCAGTTCTGCTTTCTTTTACCCCCCCTTCTCTGTTTCTCTCCCTCTCCCTTGCCCTCCTTTTGTCTTTCCCTTTCCCCCTCCCTTCACCACCCCATACTTCCTGAACTTTCAGGCAAATTACTCTTTAATGCACTCATTTTTTAAACTGGCTTCTAAAAATCAGGAAACCATAGCGAGCGTGCCCTGGAGACTCCAGATGAGCAGTCATTGAGAAATCCCAGTCCTTTTGTACAATTAGATATTTATACACCGGCTCTTTGTACTCCTTGCCTCAGTGATGGAATCTAGCATCCTGTTTTATGGAGGAATTTTATGACTTATTAACTGCCAACAGTTCATAACCCCTCAGGCTTAATTAACTAGCCTCATTGGCCTCTGAAGAAAGACTAATGTTTAAACTACAAACTAGTATTTTGCAGAAGGATCTATGGTTTACAGAGCTTTTTCACAATTCTTGACAGAACACTAAACATAAGTGTATTCATTGATTTGCCAAGTTCCACTATTGAGGTCAAAGGCTCTGTGACCAGCTGAGTAAATTGGCTTTCTTGAAACATTCAGTTCAGTTAGCAGTCCCTCAGCAGTTAGATCCACATCAAAAGAGATGCCAGATGCAGAAAGGACTTCATACTTCATTTTTGCAAAATCATGACGGCAACAGTTGAAGACATAGGAATATGATCTCATTAGCTATTAAATCATCTGGCAGATAGGATGGTGCCTTCCACAATCAAGGAGTGACCTTGGCCAGTCTCCATATTTCAAACATTATATAATGCCAGTGAAAAGAAATTCTGTCATTAAATAAAATACTGAAAAAGAAATGCTGGCAGTATATCTATATAACAAAGGCTGATGATGTGGACTTTTCCTCTTTTTTAGTTTTGTGTTCACAGTTCTACTATTGTACAATGTGGTTAGACACACAAGAAATTTTACAAGTGAAAATGGAAAATCCACTTGCATTTCAGTAAAAGAAAACAGTCTTTTTTGTAAGTTTCTGCGCTGGCATTTGTAACGAGCTCAAAGATTACAGATATAATTGATTCCCTTCCTTCAATCCATCCCTCTGCAATTTCTTATTTAAAGAGAGAATTCAGAAGGAGGGCAGACAAACAACCCTGAAAGGCAACACTATCATCCAGACTGTATTTATTTTACAAACGCTATGAGGTCTGAACCAAATTTAGTATCACAGAAACAATGGTCACATTTTCCTCAGGATGCCTAGGTTCCAGGAAGATTCAAGTTAGGTGTGCATTGCCAGTGGCACAGCAAGCACTGCCTGTTGCTTGTGCTCTTTGCCAGCTGATGTAGCCCGTGACTTTCACCCACATTGTTCAGGACTCTACACTGATTGAGTCTTACTCGTGCTGCACTGTGCTTGACTTGGACCTCCTCTGGGACCTCTGTGGGGTAATATTATAATGGTTACTTTTCTTTGCTCAGTTGAAAGTACTTGAAATGACATGAGGATGAAGTTACAGCCTAACTGTGACTTAATACCAAGGTTAAATGTAACACGTGTTGGAGGTGCAAAGGAGCACACACTGGTGTGAGGGTGTTGGAGATTTGAAGGCAGCCAGTACAGTGCTAGAGAGCTCTGACTGGCAAATGATGCAAAATCTGGCGTGCAGACCAACCCCAGAATCCCGTTCAGACCTCAACTGTGACAGAATTGATTGGTTTACTCCAAAACAGACTCAGATCATGCTAACATACATGCAAGTATGGATGATCTGGGAACAAGGATTGCAACAACAAGCTGAGAAGATATGTTGGCCATACAGATAGATCTGCAGAGACTATGACTAAAAAAATAATAGGACATCATTTTACAATTTCAATTAGTCTTTCTCTTCCATGTATATCTGGGGCTTTAAATATATTCTTGCTGTAACAGTTTTCAAATGAGAAGTAAAAATACTAAATGGGCACGAGAGCTCTTTTTTTCTGTTTGTTTTTTATAAATCAAATCTCAAAGCTAGCTCTCTTGTTTAAACTTTAATTCCACCAAGGGCTACTCTGTTTTGAAGAGCAGTAACTTCTCTGGTTAGACAAAGGAATGTGTTGTTTAAGACAGCGGATGTTACCATGTGGGAAATGTGTTCATATTCTGCCCTTAGTAGATCAAATGTATTCAGGGTATATAAGCCAGTTCAAAAATTGAGATTTATTCAAATGGTGGAATGAGGATAGAAAAGCTGACAGAGAGGTCTTTTATTTTAATGTAGAAATAAATGAAGGAAAGATTAAAAATGAAAAAGTTAAATTATGTATGAACACATGTAGCAGCTATGAAGACTACACTTAATTTGTAACTAGAGTAGAGTTTAATGTGTGGGATTGAATATTACTTTTTAGTATTTACATTGAAGTAACATGTATAGCTGACAACATGCATGGGGTCCTGCTGTGCTAGTCACTATCAAAATATAGTCTTAAAGGTTAATTTCAAGTCTAACATATGTAATTCCATTCTTTCCTTCAGATATCCAGAACTCTCTGTTGGTGGGCATAAAGACATCACTATTAACTTGTTCATTTATTCAGTTTGGATTGTGATTTATCCATAGTTTGAATACATAAGAAATTTTCCATGTGAATTTTTGTACATCATTGCACTGACCATGGAGCAGACTAGGGACTGAACTCCAACTGCTCCAGGAATGAAGTCATCTGTGTCAGCAATATATTTCTCCCTTTTTACCAGCTGAGTTATTCTGGCCAATGGGATAGTCAGAGAGAGGCTGAGCATTCCCCATCTACTTTCCTGGGTAAGGGTAGGCAGCTTCACAGGTAATCATCTGCACAGGTAATGATGTGCACATTTAACCTTGCCTCAAAAAATTGAAGCGGAATTCCTAAATGTTTATTGGCAAAGTAGGTCAAATGGAAGTGATTTATTTTCCTGACAAGGCGAATGTAACACTTACAGTCAAAAGCACTTAAAAAACATTCACAAAATGCAAACTTTGAATAGTCTTTTCTTATTAAAAAACAAGAAAAGAGAGTTCACGTCTGTCCAGCATTTACAGCAGTAAAACTCAATGAACTATAAGATTCAAGTCAGCAAACAGACAGAACATACAGTGAAAGTGAACTTTTCAGAAATCATAGTTTCTTGCAGTTTATAATTATGTTTCTAAGTGATAGTAGAACACTCTGAGAAATATTTGAAAAACATTCTAAGAATATTTAACCTACCCATATAGTTACTCTACCATTCATCTTTCACTTGCCATTCCTTTGCCACACTCCCCCTTTCTCTGTTTCTCTTCAACAGCCAGTACTCATGTTTAAGTGAACAAAAGTGCTAGATGGTAAGGCCATGACTTCACAATAAGATTTAATTATGAGTGCAGATATGAACAAGATTTAGACTATTAAGCCGTGCACTTCAAAAACCCTTTAACATATTTTGTCTTTAAATCTTTTATCACCTGCAAAAATTAATTAAGTGCAGATGTAACAGGTTAGGTTTTGATGCCAGGGTTCATTTCCTGTCTATGCTTTGTCAGACACCCTATTACACCTCCTCATGAACTGTAGGAAAACAAAAATGGTGCTCATAAATCAGCATTCAACTTTCCTTGGGCTGTGCACTGGGCTGATGCTTTAAGTGCAACGCAGAGCTTCAATTCATTATTCATGAAAATAATATAGACAACATGCCAAATGTCATCTGCATTTAAATAATCCATTTGTTAAACATATTAAGTATTGTGTAAGAATGCCTTCTATTAAAATACAAGACTAATCCAATGAAGTGGATTTTTAATCACGTAGCTTTCCTTCAGGGAACCATCAAAAGCTGGCATACATGACTTGAAAACTTCTTAGAGGGAATGACCTGTTGATTTGTTTAATAATATCGAAGTTACACAACAAGTCGAATCATTGCTAGCTGCGGGAAGTGGCCAATTTGGTTACCAAAGCAACAACATTCTTTAAAGCACATCTGACCATTTAAATTTTGTATTCTGTAGGGAAAAGTAAACTTGGGTTCTGTAGGGTTATTTTAACGGTGGAAGTATCAATTCATTTAAGGACCATAAAAGTTGCCCTGATCTGTGCCTTCTTCTCATTAAATTGCAGTTAACACCATTAAAGTGAAACATAGATGTTTATGGCTTCAGTACTGCCATCCTGGCTTTAATGAGTTCCCAAAATCAGAGGAAATGCACACCTTTATTACCTGTAGGTATTAAAAGCAGGAAAGTCTGACATATAAATACAAATTCATTATCTTTTATCTAGATGCACTGAAAGTGTGATGTTTGCCAAGAATACATACCAGATCTACAATCAATATCTTGCCTATATTTAGCTTGTCTCTCAAGTATTTGGCAGTAATTGCAATCGAATTAAAAAAGCAGAACCCCCTGTGGAATAGAGAAGAACAGAAATAAGAAAGCAAATCAGTCAGGAAAACAGCTATAAATAATGTTCAGAGCATTTTAAAAAATGCTATATGATCTCTGAGGCCATAAATCTGCTTCTGGGAGTACCTAGAAAGCCTTTTCAGTCATCTGCTAACAATTACAGTTCTTCAGAGACATGCACAATGCAGGTGATTGCCAGTAACCTTAGTGCTCCAAGATGGGCAATATTCCCTGGTACTTACATGGCTGTTGATTCTTCAGCATGATGGCCTGGGGGCCTTACAACAGCAAAGCCATTCTGTAAGAACAAGATAGGTTTTCAATTATCAGCTTAAAAAAATACTTGACTCAGTGCAAAACAGAGCAGCAGGCAGACTGGATTGAAATCTATTATAGGCTCTTGAGCACTTTTTCTGCCCAATCACCCTTTCATAGTACTGCCAGAAATAATATATTTGAGAACAGTGGCATATAAACTTACATAAATACACACATGCACATGCATACACACACACACAACATGATCTAAAGAGGAGGAAAAAGGCAGGATGAGAAAGCCGTTGTTATCAATTCTGCTGTCTAGAATTCACATTTAAAAGGAAGCAGAGAGCACTCATCCATTCTTGATCTAAATTCATGCAATCTTACATTGATCCAGACTGAGATGCTTCAAAATAAAAGTAGCTAGAGGTATATATTTTACATGAGTAGTTAGTGTTGAGCCTACCTTCTGTATGGACTAAATGATAAATTCACACACACACACACACACTGACAATCAAGGAATTTTTTGCCTCTAGAGTCACTGAAGATAAAAGAAAAATTAAAGTTCCTTCCTTCCAGTGTGGGTAAGTTAAAGGGAAAATGTAGAAGTACTGGCAAGGTAGCTCTGTTCAGAAAGCCAGATTATGTATTCAAGAAGCAGTGTCTCATAAGGGTGTGTATCATATCAAATTTCTCTTACAACAGTCAGACTCAGGAGTAACTCCATTACTTCATCAAATTTACACTTTATTTCAACTACTCAGGACAGTCTCTTCTATTCACCTATATATTTGTCATTAAATTAATGACAACTAACACATACATAAAAAAAAAATTATAATCCGTGCATCAGTCATGATCAGTCATAATCAGCCAAACTTGTGTTTTCAAGCAGCCTCACACAAATACCATGTGTATATGTATGCAATGCCAACCAAGCATTGTATTTTCAGAGAGTAGGAGACAGGAAGAAAAAGTATGGAATATTTCTGTATTTTAATAATCAGTATTAAAGTAGTCCAGTTTGATGTACTTAAGATAGTCAAACATCAATGTTTCAGCCTTTGCCCATTTAAAACAAACATGATGATCACTAAACTTTCACTCACACAAGTGTAAATAATGAGGAACAACATGGCTGTTAATAAAGCTACATTGGTGTCTGTGAAATCTGTTTATTTCCAATCCTATGAATGTGTGTTTGTGTGTACCTGTGCAATTGTCTACCTATGTTGTCTCACTGGCATTAATTTATAAACAAATACTACCAGGTTATCTCCTATAATTTGCTGCTAAAGCTAATCCAAGCACCCAGCTGCAAAGTTTTGTGGTGTATGGCCAAAATTCTATCAGACTACAGCAAAATTAAACTATAATGCAAATGGAGTACATCTGTAAGACTGTTTCCTCTGGCCACCATTTAAAGAATCTGGGGGATCTGACATCATGCCTTATTTTGCATTAAATGTCCACATTTAAAAAACAAAACAAAACAAACTAAACCCGCAACAAATATATATGTTCATATTTAGGCAGGCATTCCTGGAAGTGGAATATAAATTGCCTACAGATCAAACACACCATGAAAAAAAAAAGGCCTTGTGGATTGCACTAATCTTCAGAACCAGACCAGCTTTACACTCTTAGCTAAAACCCTATTCTTTATCTTTCTGAGGATTTTTTAACATTTCCTTTTCACACAAAATGTGACGTTGAGAAGAAATTTTTTGTAGAGGTTATGAAAAAACAACAAGTATGTGTATGCTGAGGAATGTACGATAATGAAGTGAAAAAAGTCTCAGAGAAGAGGGTATTACTAGAGAGAGAGCATCATGCTACCTGTATTTTGTTCTCTTGGTATTTCTAAGAATTTGGAAAAAGTCCATGCAAGGCTTACAGCTGCCCTTGCTCAGCTCACAGCTCATTATCATCTACCTTTAGCAGTATTCCCAAAAGATCAATATAATTAAGATGATTATCTCTAGGAGGATTTAATGGGGCAATATAGAGACAGAAAAAATCAACACTGCTGTTTTTGACAACATGACAGTTCCAGTATAGGCTTCTCTTTTCTGTTCCCTTACTTTAAGGAGGCTGTTTGGAAGACCAGTTTTGTTATAGATAGCTAAGTTTACTCTTACAGTTCCCCATGAACTTGCAGGACATTCACATCTGTGCTGCGACCATTTTTAATGTGTTGTTACATTATAAGAAGTTCAGTATTCACACAGGAATTTACTTTTTTAATACAGTGCATGTATTGCTGATAAAGCATATAATATAATCAATTTTTACCAAACACTGAAAACTAGTTACTATATAGTATTAACAGCAGCAGCTTTTGTGCAATTGATAAAACACTTCATTTCTCCTACTTTCAAACTCTGCATGAACACAGTGTACATTAGCACAATGGAACATGAATTCATTTATCTAGGCAATATTTAAATACCAGACAGTGAGCTCAGAACAGTAGACAGAAAGGCAAAAATCTGCTTTAAAGACAGAAAGACTAACACAGAGCAATATGTTGAAAATGAAGCCAACACACATAAACTCAAAGCATTTTTGTACAGAGCCTTATTTATACTAGGATACAGACACCTTTATATGTCGACAGAACATTAAACTGACTGACAGACATGAACATTAGAAAAAGGATTCATGTCTGTGCCATTATATGATCACCTTTCGTATAAATTTGAGGACAAAGAGTAAAGCCTGAATAGAGATATTCCAAAATCTCTGCATATTTGAACAACAAAGTGAAGACTGCCCAAACTCAGTTTATAAAGAAGATCCATTGCAGATAGACCCACCTAGTTGGATCTTTAAAGAAAACTAAGGAAAAATATGTCTTTTTCCACAGTAAGCTAAGTATTCTCTTCTTTCATGACTGCAAATAGGTAGTTGGATGCTTGATTTCCAAATAACAGAGGCGTAAATCCTATGGTGGCCTTCTTGTCTTCGGTGGTACAGTAGATTACTTTTTGTAGTGTGCTGCATTAGATTGTTGGGCTACATCATGATTGGGCATCTACTGTACCTCTCCCTGAACCTTTCCTAGACAAGCACTCAAGACAATACCATAACACAGGTGGTTACTCCAGGGTTTGGGACTGACCATCTATAGAAGAGTTTCACTGGTGTTTCTATTATACAAAAAACTAGATGTAGGCAATTTTTCCCTAAAGCATTATGTGGTGATTGTGGCAAGGTGCACATCATTCTTCTCTTCTCTTGCCAGCGAGGAGCTTGCTCTGTCTAGATTACAAATGCACCAAAAGCCACCCAGACAGTCTGGCACTCCAGGTACGCTGAGAAGCCTGTCTGAGAAGCAGTACATACTAGCTTCAGCCTGGTATTACTCTAGTAAAATCATCTAGCTTTTTATTGACTCCAAGAAAAGACAGTAGCATGCAAGAAATAGCAATGAACCCCAGCAGGCACTCCAAGAGTACTTACTGAAGCAGTAGAAGACTCAGGATCAACTCCTTCTCGAACATGGGGATGACTCTGTAAATATTCTTCTTTTTTATCTGTTTGTGTATCTGTTTGTGTATTCAGATTATGTGGTCCATAAAGAAGATATTGAGACACTTTTCAGTCTAGGTGAGTTTTCTAACAGTAGGTCTAGAGTCACGCCTTCCTCAGCTCTTATTCAAACTTATGAATCTTTAATTATATCCTGCAGAGTAGCAGTCCTTCAATAGAGGGCAAAACACCACCACTGAATCTCAAATTTAAGATAAGATAGTCTTATATGGAGTTTAAAAATTAATTTATTTCAGCTGAAAAGAAATTGATGCTGCTCTTGCATTTTAAACTGTAAACCCCTGTATGAAAGTGCAATGTTATTTGTCCCAACTATTCAAGAGGTAATGGGCACAAATTGGAACAGAGGAGGCTCCATCTGAACATATGAATATCCTTTTATACTGTGAGGGTGATCGAGCAATAGGACAGGTTGCCCAAAGAGGTTGTGGAGTCTCCATCCCCGGAGACTTACAAAAGCCATCAGGATGTAGTCCTGGGCAACTAGCTCTAGCTCACCCTGCTTGAGCAGGGCAGGGGTGGACCCAATGACACCCTGAGGTCACTTCCAACCTCAACTGTTCTATGGTTCTGTGATTCTATTCAGAAGTTCATAATCTTTGAAAAAAGGCTTTCAAGAAAATGGGTGTAATACCTAATGATCAGCAGAGTTCTTGGCAGAACTTTGTCCTGTGCACTATCTAACTGCAGCTGCACACACTGTTAAGGACAGTTTTCTCAGGAACCTCTGTGTATTTCGTATAGAAACCAGGAACCTAACTCAGGGTCTATATTCCACACTTGAAGCTAAACATCTTCCTGATGTCAGGTGTTAAAGTTTCTATTTTCTATATGTCTAAATCCCTTAGCCTACCTGGCCCCTAGCTCTTAAAATTAGCAGTGCTTAAACATGGCATTTTTGGACTTTCACTTGTTTTTAATGGAAAGGTTTTATTTTTGCTTCAGTGTGAACAGGCTTCAGGATGAGAAGCAAATCACTGAAGCTAATACTTCATTTCTTTGTAGAAACTTCTTTAGTTATTATACAGAAATGTATCCATTCCTCCTGTCAGAATTTATATTCTTTATATTTTATACATATACAACTTTGTATCTTTATAAAGTTAAATAAAACATTCTTTCTTTAAATTTAAAAGGTGCTCCATACAGTGTATCTGACAGGGTGTAACCCTGCCCCTGCAGTGGCCTTAGCGCCATCTTTAACCCTGCTATCGCTGGCTTAGTTAATTCCTAAAATAACAAACATCAGGGCTGCTTTAAGTCTCAGCTGCCTACAACAGTCCCGTTGCAACTGGTACCCTGAGGAAGATAACCATATTCTTACCAGGGTCACTTAGGCCGTAACGTGACCCCAAGCTGTGCCATCCACCAAGGAGGGGGAAGCATAAGAGTGAGTGGTGTAAGACCAAGGCAATCCTCAGGTACCTGTTTAGGACAATTTCACAAGCTATTCATACTGCCAGAGCAGGAGCCTGTATC